TTTAATTAAAATAAATAAATAAATAAATAAATAAATAAATAAATAAATAAAAACATAAGGTGGAGAAGTTATTGAGGACACTTGATGTTGGCCTCTGTCCTGCCTGCATGTGTGTGTGCACTCACACACACACAAAACACACACAGAACACAGGCTTGGACATCTATGCACATGTGCACACACAGAAAAACTGTAAATGTCACTATGACTCACTGACAGTTGAAATCCAGAGATAACATATAATACTATAGAAGATGTTTCCTGTCCTTGTTTCTCTTTGCTCACAAAGAAATCAGCAAGAGGAGTTGATGAGTATGTGATCGTCTGGGAACACTTTTCAGACTCAGAAATCTTTTTGAAAAAACATCTGAGCTTGAATGTATTTCATTGAGCATCTTCTTGAGATTTGCTCACTGGCCAGGTTTCTGCTCCAGCGTTTAGTGATATTTGATTCCCCTTGTACTTCATAGCCACAGAATTGGCATAGTTTAGACAGGGTGGGGAGTAGGTAGAATGGGAAGAGGTAACTAAAAACAAATGAGCTGACAGGGGTAAAACAAGTTTGATCATTCACTGGTTCATGGCCAGTAGGATACTTCAGCTTCGTTTAAATAAATGGGATTAACTAGAATGTAAAACTTCTTTTCCATTTGCCTTCCTTCCTACACCCATATAGATGAAAGCAGATGCTTCTACCTGGCAATAGCCTACCAAATTGGTTACTTTCTTATTTACATTTGCTGACTTCAATTTTATTCTTGCTCCTTTCTAAAGTCTTTAGCAAATATTTTAGCATCTGGTAAATACTATATACTAAAAAAACATGGTAAATTTACCATAGTATTAGCATACTGTTAAGTAGTATAATATAGTAAATACGTTGATTTACTAAATGGAATATTTGTCTTTAACCAGTTAAGCATTCAGCACCCTCTGTCTTACTATTGCTACCTCCTCCCTCACACACACACACACACACACACACACACACACACACACACACCCTTTAATCCCAGCACTACTCAGGAGGCAGAGGCAGGTGGATCTCTGTGAGATCAAGGCCAGCTGAGGCTACAGCGTAAAAAAAAATTTTGTTGTTCTATTCATTGCATGTTATTTTCAAGCCTTCTTTGAGCCTACCATACCTCTTATAGCAAACTATATTCTACATGTATATGAATCAAGTAAACTATCAGTCAAGATAAAGTACTTGAAGACAAGTATGTTAGAGCTTATAACCTACTGTTGTGATTATATAACTAGTTATTTGCTTTAATGAGAAATATGTCTTCCATAAATCTCAATTCTAATAGAACTTTTGAATTCCAGTTTGATGCGTGGTCTGATTTCTTTCAGTCACATGACCCATGAAGTGGCAGAGGAATTTTCTCCTCAAGATCCAAGAACTCGTGTTGTGAAGCAAGATGGCATTTCAGTCACACCAGTATTGTCCCCACCTGACCTGGAAAGGGAAGAAGAAAAAGATGACACTTCAGATCCTATAGACCTGAACCCCTGTAGTGCAACATACAGCAACTTAGGTAAGTACAAATGTTGTAAAAACAGTATTTTTTTTTTTTGTCTTTTTGTTTTTTTGTTTTGCTTTTTGTCTTTTTGAGACAGGGTCTCCCTGTAGCCCCAGCTATCCTGGAACTCACTATGTAGACCAGGCTGGCCTTGGACTCACAGAGATCTGCCTGCCTCTGCTTCCCAAGTGCTGGGACCACAGGCCAGCACCACCACACCCAGCTTTTTTGGTCTTTTTGAAACAGGGTCTCCCTGTAGCCCCAGCTGACCTAGAACTCACTATGTAAACCAAGTTGGCCTTGAACTCACAGAGATCCACCTGCCTCTGCCTCCTGAGTGCTGGGATTAAAGGCATGTACCACCACATCCTGCTTAAACTTTGTCTTTTTATGCACTAGCTAAATGTTCTATTTTCCTGGAGAGGTGGTTTTTATTGTTCCGTGGATTAAAAGTTGGACTATTGGAGTTATAAATTTTAACTCATATCAGGAAAAAACATTTGGGTTTAGTAGGCTTCTGTTAAATACCTGCTACCATGAGCTCTATGCCATGTGCTGGAGATGCTGACATGCTCCTACCTTGAGGGTCTCAACGTGGGCAGAAAGAAGTGAACTTGCTAACGAATTCAGTATAATGTGGTAAATGCAATTGTAGAGATACATATGGAGTATTTATGATGTTACACAAAGGAGTCTGTCAAAAGATGCCTTCCTGGAGATCATTCCTGAACTTATTTAACTGGTTGTCAGAGGAAAGAAAGAATATTCCAGCCAGAGGCAATAAGTGAACAAAACTCTGGAGATGCAAAATAACTAGGTGCGTATAGCTTGGTATCACAACCTTTTAAGGTTGCTGCAATGTGGAGAGCTAGAGAAGATATATTTCCAGTTAAAACCTTAGACATTTTGTTATTTGTGATCCATCAAAGGATTTTGAGAAATTACATTTGTGTTTTAAAATAGGTACTCTATAGGCTGCTCTGTGAGGATAAACTACTTGATAAAGGAAATCTAGTATCAGTATTATTGCAGGACCACATAAAGGAATGGGAAAAAGAGGACTCAGTTAAGATAGGGGATGGAGAATGGTGGACAAATCCGAGCAGTATTTTAGGGGAAAATATACAGAAAGTTGGATACTGTGAAGATTGTGATATATCCCAGATTTCTGGCTTGGATCAAGCAGGCTAGAGGAAGTAAGATTACTATCACTAGAGGAATTTAGGCAGAGGCTGACAGGCTGTCTCACAGACTCCTAAAAAGGAGGCTATGCAAGGAGGGTTACACAAAATTACTTCAGCAGTTTTTGCCAATGCAAAGATTCCCCAATTCTCTGATCATCTTCACTGTCATTCTGGAGTTTCCAATGACTTGTGAGCTATCATCCGCGCCCCCGCCCCCGAGTCTTGCAGTTTCTTTCCTTCTGAAAAGCAAAGCCTAAAGCAAGATTAGGTTTTTTGATGCTTTTCTCCTCTGATGAAGGTGAGTAGCATGGATTGCCTGCAGTACTCCAGCAGGAGTCTTCCAAACCACTGACCAATCCTGAGACTCTGTTTGGAAACCACTGGAGTCTGTCACTGAAGGTTTCTTCTACGTAGTTTCTCATCTCCCTTCTTCTTTATCTTTTTTTTTTTTTTCCATCAAGGTATTTTATGGAAAAACAATTTAAAAATCAGCTGGTATAGTTAGAAATGATGAAATCCTTAAGAAGGCCAAAAGATTGATATAACACTGTAGGAGAAATGTTCTAATATCTTCTTATTGGAGACTCTATCAAAATAACCCATAAGTCATTGGAAGCATATTCTGTAAGGAAAAGATGTCCATTCTAACTTCCAGAAGCTACTGTGTTTAGAAGTAGATGAAAGCATGTTTTAGTTTGTCTGAATAACCATCTTAGATACCATGTTCTAGTTTGAGTAGATTTTATAGTCAAGCAGCTTATGGGACAGTTTCATTCTTTTATATTTTAGAAGTATCTTGTTAGATGGAAATTTTGCCATATGCTCTCAAAGATTATATCAGAAATTAAATGATATTGCTAATATTTTTGCTATACCAAAATTCTTTCATGATAGCCCTAGTCAAATATATCATAACTTTTATTAATTGATATCATATGGCATCTCTTCATACAAATTTCATTTAGCAACTAGGTATGGTACTTACATCTGTAATCCCAGAACTTGGAGGGGCTAAAGCAGGAGGATTATGAATTTGCAACTAACTTGGGCTTCATCATGAGACCTTGTCTCAAAGAAAGAAAGAAAAGAAAAAGAAAAAGCAAGATGTAGTGACGCATGTCTATAATCCCAGCACTTGGTATGTGGAGGCAAGAGGATCAGGACTTCAATGTCTTCCTCAGCTACATAGTGAGTTTGAAGCCAGTCTGGGCTCCATGAAACCCTATCTTTTTTTTTTCTAAATTTTTATTCCTTGAGAATTTCATACAATATATTTTCATCATATTCATTCATCCTCCCCCAACTCCTCCCAGACCCAACCCACTTTCCTACCCACCCAACTTTGTGTCATCTTTATTTTCCATCAAGTCAAATCTATGCTGCCATATACTCTTGGGTGTGGGTCCACAGGAGCATGGTCCACCTACCAAAACATAAAACTGACTCTCCCTCCCCCATCAACTATCAGTTGTCAATAGCTCCACAGTGAGGGGTGAAACTTTGTGTCTACCTCCTCCCTCCATGCTGGGATTTTGTCTGACTTGAACTTGTGCAAGTCTTTTGCATGCTTCCACAACCACTGTGAGTTCATGTGCACAACTGCCCTGTTGTGCCTGGAAAGCACTATGTCTTTATAGTCATCCACTGCCTCTAGCTCACCTCTGACTCTTAAAAATCTTTCCACCATCCCTACTTACACAGTGATCTCTGAGCCTTGGGAGGAGTGATCTTTGAGCCTTGGGAGGAGTGTGTGTGGTAGAGATATCATTAGGGCTAAGCACTCCAGAGTCTTTTATTCTCTGTATCTTAACCAGTGGTGGCTCTTTCTGCTAATCACCATCTACTGAAGAAGAAGAAAAAAAAAGCTTCTCTAATGAGATGAGAGGTACACTAATCTATAACAATGAGTCATTAGGAGTCTGTTTAATACTATGCTCATTAAGCAGAGTAATAATAGGTTCCTCCCCAGGGCCTATGACCTGTCTAGCCACAGGTGCTTGGCCCTGATAACAGTGCTAGATATGGGGTCAATCCTGTGGAATAGGCCTTAAATCCAGTCAGAAAGTGATTGGTTACTAGCTAACTTTAAAATTAGTTATTTTACCTGTTGTCCTTTCAGTTATGAGGATAAGTAGAAAAATATAGAGCATTGCCTCCATGAATATTCTCAATGCCTTACAAACATTAACTCACTCAATCCTTATAACCACCTAGGATTTATTAATTTTATCATTTTATTATTTATTATTTTTATCATTTTTTTTAGATGAGGAAAGCAAGACAGGGAAGTGTGAGACAAAATCAGAGCCCAGATAGTCATAGCCACTCGGTAGATTATAGTGCCCTGTAGTTCCAGCTGGCCTGGAATTTACAATGTAGAACAAGCTGCATCTCACAGAGATCCACCTTCCTCTGCCTCCTGAATGCTGGGATTAAAGGCATATGCCACCACACCTGGCAATTATAATGCGCTTAATCATAAATTCTTATAATGTACTGAAGGATATTGTGACTTCTTAAATTTTATCTACTTTCAGACTCAAAATTGAAGACTTTAAAAAATAATTGTAGTTACTTAGATTTCAAAAATACAAATTGCTCTATTGGAAAAATGGAATTATTTTCATTGGATTTTAGCTCAATAGTAGAACCTTTGCCTAGCAAGCATAAGACTCTTGGTTCAGTCCCCAGCAGTGGAAGAAAAAAAACAGATTTCTTTTTTTGCCATAAGTATAGATGCCTATAAATGTTACCCAGTAAGTGCATAAATGTCTATGTACTTGACTTTTTATGACTTGATACATGATTAATTGCTTCTTTGAACAATTAAGGTTAGTTCATCAGTTCTAGAAGCTGAGGATTTTGGGTTTCTTAATGTTTCCCTAGTAGAACAAGTGTTTTAGGTAGCATTTGGAGTTTCTTTTTTTAGTATATTTAGCATATCATTTCCATGAAGTTTTAAATTGCCCCTTTGAGTAAATTTTTGTGATTTAAAGCCCTGGTAGCTTTTTTTTAAAACAATAGTAGAGTTGAGGGACTGGAGAGATGGGTTGGTGGTTAAGATCAGATGCTACTTGCAGCAGACCCAGGTTCAGTTCCCAGCATTCGTATGGGAGCTAATAACCATCTGCTACTCCAGTGCCAATGCCCTTTCCTGGTCTTTGCAGGTATTATATGCAATAGTGCACTTACATGCAGACAAAACACTCATACACATAAATAAATAAAAAGCTTTTTTTATTATTTTTTAAACATTATTTTTAAAATTTTTAATAACTACATGACTAGAAGAAGAATTTCACTACAGCTTTAACATATTCAGTAACACACTACAGAGCAAGAGTACATCTCTTTCACAAGTAGGTACAAGTTTCTAGGTTCACAGTTGAATTAATACAGTTATACAGTATTGAACTCAGTATAAACCCTGTAAGACATAAAATTGAATGACTTTTTTAAACTTTAAAAAAGATCTCCATTTCATTTTAGAATATATTGTTCCTTGCAGAAAGACTCATTGTTTTAGCTACTAATACAGAGATGTTGGCGCATGCATGTCTAATCTGTATTTATCTGATTGTTGCTAGTCATAATCAGTTGCACTTGGATCCTTGGCACCAAAGTCATCGGGTATTATTTCAATGGTAATGTTTATCACCTCTACTAAATTAAATAGCATGATGTAAATTTCCATGCTTCCTCCTCAAATATAATACATTTTATAAATTTGATATGTGTGTGTGTGTGTCACACAGAACATCCCAAACCATCTTGCTCGACTATACACCCACTTCCGTGATGGCACCCTCCCATAGCCTCCCTTCCCCCCAC